TACGTTCAGTAACCATTCATTTGTTGTATTATCTATAAGTATAATCATCCCTGTATTATACACACATGTGAATTTCTTACTCGAGTCTAAGAACGCAAGGATCAATGTAATAATTGTGACAATTTGTATAGCATATATTTTCAATTAACTATTGCTTGTTGCATATTTATTGTTTGATTGAATTCAAAACRATGTTTTTAGTTACTACCTCTTGGTTCTTGGTACCTGGTAATGTATCATAGGCTTCAATGTATATTATATAATATTTTTTTTTTTTTTTTAAGAAACTATTGATGAGAACCATTAGTTTTTACAATTACAACAAACATATAAATAATATATAATAATCTATTAAATTAGAAAAACATTAATTTTTTTTAACACGTTCGCCGCCAAGTGTCACATATGTGTGACATGRGGTCTCTTTAAAAAAACCCATGTCATACATATATACTATACTATATACTATATACTATACACATAATCGAAATAATATTAGGTTTGGGTTTGTCCTAAGATTTTCAAAAAGGTCTTGGGTGGTGAACGTAAAAAAAAAAATATATATAATATAATTATGATTAACTATAATATATTCACAAAGTTCATATATTTATTCGTTTGATTGTTTGTTATAGTCAGCAAATCAGAGCTTTCRGAGAGAACTAGAATWAGAATGTTTCACATTGGCAAATTGGTTTGTCAACTATTCAACACTGTCAATATCAACACATTATAGCTATGGACAATCATGTTTGTCATCATATTATTTATAATATATAAAAATATAAAATTACAATTATATTTATTTTATTCATTTGTTACCTACATAAGTATCTAAGAAAAAACAATTGTTTATAAATATATGTTTTAAGGAAATAAATGCAATTTCTAAAGCAAATTTTGAAGTTGTTTTAAATTATTACATTAAAACATTGGTATCATAAAAAAAAAAAAATATATTATAAAATTAAATAATTTATAATAATCGATAAGTATTATTATCTAGATTTTTTTAATCAATCTTGAGCTGTTTTTAGTTTGTTAATTTTTGGGATGGAATCCCAAGAATATAATGTTGCCATAATGATAATGAATAGTGTAACAATTTACTAATACATCTTAGATAGAGACTAGGAACCTATATAGAATATAATAGTACATATTTTTTTAAAGGTATAACAGATTAAACAATGAAACAAATATTATTCTAATCAATAATTTTTTTAATGTTATATCATTGACAGACTATTGCCTTATATTTTTCAATTTTATTTTTGATACTGAAAATTAAAAAAAAAACTTAAATCTGGATTAAACTTTTTTTGAAAACTTCAAAATAGTGAATTAATTGTAAAACTGATTTTTAAAAAATGTCAATTGTAAAAACATTTAATTAAGATATGCAGTTTATTTGTATTTTTTTTTTTTTAAATCTCGTTTTTGTTAAGTCAAATAACTTGATCTAGTTGTAAAAATGTTTTAAATTCAAAAACTATAAACTTTAAAAAAATATTTAATAAGAATTTTTAAATTGGGACTTGTTAATTAAAAATGTTTATATTTATCAGTTTTTTATAAACTAAATTTACAAATTGCCTTTTTTTAATGTTTTAAAAACAATTGTATTAGGTTTTAAGTTTCTTGTTTTTAGTATTAAAAAATAAAATAGTAAAATGTTATACCATGTGTAATGTGTATGTACAGTGCAAGCTTGGAAGGCTAGATTTTGCAGGGACTCTTGTAAATTTATTAATACCTTATATATTTTTATATATTTTTCTAGTATTTCTTTGAAGTTTTATAAAAATGGAGTCACTCAATAAATTTAATATGAAACAAATTAAAATTAGTAGGTAAGTATAATCAAGGCTGGGCATTAACGAGTTAAAAAGTTAAAGTTAAGTTA